TTTCCCAAATTATACATAATTAGTCTTGGATTGCATTTACATGTGTGAAGGGATATCTTACCCTTCATTCAACACAATTCATAAAATAACTCATGTATTCAATTAGGTGAGAATGAACTTTCAATCTTATAATCATCAATATATGAGTAAACCTTTCACATTATGTTCATAGTGTTTCATGAGAATAACCTTTCAATCAACACAACCACATGATCATCATCCTAGACAATTCATACATAGTCATGTGTAAGGGTAAGGGGAGAATTATCTTTCAACAATACCACAATTTACACAATAGTCATAGGATACTCACTTTCTAAGTGAATCATAAGTTCATACACAATTTTCATCAACATGTACAAATCCTCATAATTTACCCTTCAAGGGTCATGAATCAAGTCTCAGAATCACACCTAGAAATACTACAATAGGCATGAATGACAACATGATCTCAATAACTAACATACCATAGACATAATTCATAGTATTCATCTTGCATCAATACACCCATCACAATTCATGAAATTGGGTCACGGGGGAATTCATGGGTCCATGGGGAATTTTATCATAAAACCACCAATAAACAACAATTCAATCATAATAATAGACAATTAACTCATTGAAATCGTTTTTAGGAAGAACCCATGACATAGATTGAAAACCCTAGGTTTTGAAGAATCTACTAATTTGTAATTGAGAGTTTTAGGGCTTCATGGAAGAATGCTTTCCATGAATCAAGATCCCCATACCTTGATTGAAGATTTCCCCACGAATTGGAGTTGAGAAGATGAGTTCTTGAGCCCTAGCCTTCAAGTTCTTGTTCTTCTTCAATGGAGGATTTTTAGTGAGAGAAACATTGGAGAGGAGATGGGTCTTCTTTTAATTCTTTTAAAAGTGACTTAATTGGAGGAATTTCAAGTCTAAAAAGGTTATATACTTATTGAGAAAAGAGTAGAATAAAGTGGTTTTAATTTTGGAAGAAAACTTGAGACCCTTTAAGTTACAACTTAAATTTTCCCTTCTTTCACGACTTGGCTCGCCCAATGCACCCCCTTAGCTCGCCAAGGGCACTAGGCGACACGCCTAATAGACCCTTGGCTTGCCTAATTTTCCAGAATTCTCCATCATGGAGCATTTCCAATGGGCGAGAGGAAGGTCTTTTGGGTGATGCACCAAGTGGGTTGGTGAGCCTCGACCTAGCTCGCCTAAAATTCCAGTAGCTAGGTCTAGGGGAGGCTTCCCACTAGGCGAGGAGAGTCCATTTGGCTAATCGCCAAGGCACTTGGGCGATGCTACTGCCCATCGCCTAATGGACCAAAGTAATAATCGTTTTCCTCTATGTTTCTTAGGTTATCTAGGACCTTGCCCTCTCTCTAGACTCTTACCCCATTCATTTTAGCTCTAGTTAAGTCTACACATTTTCGGAGTGTTACATTATCTCTCCCTTGGGGATATTCATCCTCGAATGACGATCTAGACACCTTACGGAAGTAAAGACTCAAGACTAGCATCCCATCATGCATGCAACATCAAAATAATGCGCAATTCAAAGGAGGAAACATCAACTCCATCATAAGACATAATCAATGCAACACAAGGAAGTAGGAGCTATATCCACAACCCATTATGCACAAAACTCATCATTCCACATAATCATAGGAGGAATTACCTTCTCCAACTAAAATAAGCTTAACACAACATTATGGAGCCAATATGCCATTTCATCAAAAGTATAGTAAAACATGTTCATCAAATCATCTCACGAAGTCAAATATGCAATCATCATACTAAAATGTACAACAACATGAAGAACATAAAATTCATGAAAACTCATTTTATTCTAAACATGAATTCTCACAAGAACATGCATATCATAAAGAAATCCTATTGAACACAGATAGCACACATGACTCCTAAAACACCAAACTCAAGAGAACTACTTACCTCAAGCTTGGATAGGAGTAGAAGGAAAAATATGAGGATAACGGGACTTCATATCGGCTTCGGCCTCCCATGTACCTCAATTAAATGATTCTTCCATAAAACTTTCACGGAAGCTATTTCCTTATTTCCCAACCGTTTAACTTGCCGGTCTAAGATCTCTACCGGAATCTCTTCATACGAAAGACTCTTATCAACTCCCAAACCTTCTAAAGGAATGATGGATACCGGATCACCAATGCACTTCTTAAGCATGGAAACATGAAATACCGGGTGAATTGGAGCCAACTCATTCGGCAAGTCTAACTCATAGGCCACTTTCCCAATACACTTCAAAATTTTATAGGGACCCACATACCGGGGACTAAGTTTCCCCTTCTTGCTAAACCTCATCACACCTTTCATAGGTGAGATTTTCAAGTAGACCCAATTATTGACTTCAAATTATAGGTCCCTCCTTCTAACATCCACATAAGACTTTTGCTGACTTTGGGCTGTCCTTAACCTCTCTCTAACGAGTCAGACTTTTTCAATAGCCTCACAAACTAGTTCGGGACCAAGTAGAGCAATCTCACCTACTTCAAACCAACCAACCGGAGATCTACACCTCCTACCATACAATGCTTCAAAAAGAGCCATGACAATACTTGAGTGGTAGCTATTATTATAGGCAAACTCTATCAATGGAAGATAGTCATCCCAATTACCCTTGAAGTCAATAACACATGTCCTCAACATATCTTCTAAGGTTTGGATGGTACGTTCCGCTTGACCATCGGTTTGGGGATGAAAAGTCGTGCTAAGCTTGAACTTAGTACCAAGCCCTTTTTGGAATACCTTCTAAAAGTGTGAAGTAAATTGAGTACCTCGATCCAAAATGATAGATAAAGGAACTCCATGCAACTTCACTACCTCTTTGATGTACAATTTGGCATAGTCTTCCGCCAAAAAGGAAACCTTGACGGGAATAAAATGGGCGGATTTTGTTATTCTATCCACAATGACCCAAATAGAATCATGTTGCCTTCGGGTACGAGGAAAACCCACAACAAAGTCCATATGCACATGGGAGTATCTATATCTTAGGACAAACCTCTCGGTCTTAGGTGTTCAACCTTAACTTGTTGACAATTCGGACGTTTGACTACAAAACCCGCTATATCCTTCTTCATACCATTCCACCAATAGACTTTTCGTAGGTCACGGTACATCTTGGTGGCTCCCGAATGAATAGAATACCGCAAACCATGAGCTTCATCTAAAATTTGCTCTCTTAAGCCATCAACATCCAGAACACATAATCGACCTTGGTACCTAAGAACCCCATCTCCCCCTTAGGAGAAAGCCTCAATGGACTTGTTGAGTACCGACTCTTTCAATTTAGCTAGAATAGGATCAAGGTGTTGCTTTGCCTTAACATCCATTACAAAGGACGATTTGGAACCATTATGGACCGTGACACCAGCCTTGGTGGAATCCACTAGTTGGACACCTAACCGGGCCAGCCTATGAACATCACGAACTAACTCCTTCTTTTCATCTTCTACATGGGCCACACTACCCATGGACAATAGACTTAGGGCATCCACAACTACATTGGCTTTGCCAGGGTGGTAAAGGACACTCATGTCATAATCCTTCAAAAGTTCTAACCACTTTGTTTGTCGGAGGTTCAAGTCTTTTTGGCTAAACACATATTAGAGACACTTGTGGTCAGTGAACACATCAGCATGCACCCCATATAGATAATGTCTCAATATTTTCAAAGCAAATACCACCGCCACCAATTCAAGATCACGAGTCGGATAGTTCTTCTCATGTATCTTGAGTTGCCTTGAAGCATAGGCAATTACTTTCCCATGTTGCATAAGGACACATCCTAAATCCATTCTAGATGCTTCACAATATACAACAAAACCATCGGTACCCTCCGACAAGGTCAACACCAGAGCGGAGGTAAGCCTATTCTTCAATTCTTGGAAGCTCTTCTCACAAGCTTCCGACCACACAAATTTAGCCTTCTTTTGAGTTAAGGTCATCAAAGAAGAAGCAATAGAGGAGAAACCCTCAACAAATCTCCTATAGTAGCCGGCCAAACCCAAAAAACTTCTAATATCGGTTGGTGATAGTGGTCCAGGCCAACTCTTGACCGAGTCCGTCTTCTTTGGATCTACCTCTATACTCTTGTTTGACACAATGTGACCTAGAAATGCCACAGACCTTAGCCAAAACTCGCATTTACTAAACATTACGAATAATTGATGATCCTTGAGTACTTGTAACACAACTCTCAAATGGTCCATATGGTCACTCTCACTTCTAGAATAGATCAAGATATCGTCGATAAACACAATGACGAACATGTCGAGATATTGCTGGAAACCCCTATTCATAAGGTCCATAAATCCCGTCGGGGCATTAGTTAGGCCAAATGACATAACAAGGAACTCATAGTGCACATACCTAGTTCAGAAAGCCGTCTTGGGAATGGCAACCCCTCTCACTCTTAGTTGGTGATATCCCGAACGAAGGTCAATTTGGGAAAAGTATCTAGCCCCTTGAAGTTGATCAAACAAGTCATCAATCTTAGGAAGTGGGTACTTGTTCTTAATGGTCACCTTGTTCAATTGCCAATAATCAATACATATTCTAAGAGTTCCATCCTTCTTCTAAACAAACAATACCAAAGCACCCTATGGAGAGATGCTTGGTTGAATAAAACCCTTGTCAAGCAAATCTTTTAGTTGCTTTTCCATTATATAAGGAGGAATAGAGATAGGTTGCATATCCGGGATAAGGTCAATACCAAAATTTATTTCCCGTTCGGGAGGAATATCGGGTAAATCATCGGGAAAAACTTTCGGAAACTCATTCACTACCGTAAGGGACTCTAGAAGAGGGGTTTCAGATTCAACATCCTTCACCCTAACAAGATGGTAAATGCACCCTTTGGAGATCATTTTCCTAGCTTTAAGACAAGAAACAATTTGACCTCTAGGCATAGATTTTCCACCATTCCACTCTAAAATAGGTTTATTCGGAAATTGGAATTTAACCACCTAAGTTCTACAATCAATTGAAGCATAAAAATCATGCAACCAATCCATACCAAGAATTACGTCGAAATCTAACATGTCAAGTTCTACCAAGTCAACAAAAGTAACTCTATGGGACAAGGAAATGGGACACCTTTTATACACCCTCTTAGCCACCACAGAGTCACAAACTGGGCTAGAAACCAAAAAAGGTTCTAATAATTCTTTCGGATGAACATCAAACCTCATCGCCACAAAGGGCGTCACAAAAGATAGAGTGGCACCTGGGTCCAATAATGCATAAACATCAATAAGAAAAACTTGCAATGTACCGGTAACCAGATTCGGGGAGCTAACTTGGTCACCTCTAGCTTGAAGAGCATAAAAGTAGTTTTTCTTGGGAGCATCAGAATTTGAACCACTTGGAGCAGTTTGTTTATTTTCCCTCCCCTTGGTCGTACGTGTTGGGCAATCTTTCAATTGGTGGCAACTCTTACCACAACCATAGCACACACCCATGCCGACAAGACATTTACCATCATGTTTTTTGCCACACTTGGCACAAGTAGGCCTCTTCATGGAAGATCCACCACTATTGCGTCCTTGAGGCTTAGGGTTAGACACCCTACCTTTGTTTCCCCTTAGAGCATTAGAGGAGCTTTGATTGGAGAACTTCCCCTTGAACCTTGGTCTACCTTGACCTTCGAATTTACCTTTGGAAGAATTTCCATCATTGGTCCTTGCCCTCTTCACTTCCCTATTCTTCTTCTTAAGCCTTAACCCCTAAAGTTGTTGAGCATAAACCATAAGACGTGATATGTCCATGTTGTCATGAAGTATTGTCGCACGACATTTTTCTTCAATTGAGTCGGACACCCCCGTCAAGAATCTACTCATTTCATCCCTCGGATTCGACACTAGAGAAAGAGCATACTTAGACAATTAAGTGAACTTGAGGGAGTACTCTTGCACACTCATGCCTCCTTGACGAAGATTGATGAATTCTTGAACTTTAGGCTATTTCAATTCCTGATGAAAATACCTAGCAAGAAATGCGGTTTTGAACACTTCCCATTGGGACCCGCTCCAACCGGCCTATTCGCCTTCCATTAAGTGTACCAAACTTGAGTAACACCTTTCAATTGATAAGCAGCCAATTCCGCTTTCTCCACCAAACTCACTCCCATAATATCAAGTATCTTGAGAACCTCTTCCATAAACTCATAAGGATCCTCTCTCACTTTGGAGCCATGGAACTCCGGAGGATTCATCCTAGAAAAATCTCAAACCCTAGAAGCTGCCGAATTTAGATTTGGATTAGTCGGAGCAACAACTGTCCTAGTAGCTTGGGCCGTCATGGCTTGAGCTTGAGTTTTCATTGCTGGAGTGGTTACGACTTGAGTCAATATGTAGAGAGCCGCCCTTATTTCCACATTTGTCATAGCCCCGTCATCCATAGGAACTTGAGTACCTTGGGGAGGAACTCCCTCATTCGCGTTCTCCTCTTTCATCCATCTTGCATTCGCCCTTCTTGTATTCATAGCCTATAAACACAAGAGAAGGTTAGGAAAATGAATTCATAGAGTTAAAACTCTAAAGCACGACTAAGGAGTAATGAATGAAGTGAACTTTCCTAAACGTCGTATAGCCTCTCATTCATAAGTGTGACACGCTTCACACTCATGAACAAGACTCTACTAGACGTGGTTTATGAGACATCAACGTAAAAATCAATCCCAAAACCTTATGCTCTGATACCAAGTTAGTCACGACCCAGGGGTACCCCCTAGATGCAACACGGCGTACTTGACTCTCATACAAGCCCTTAGCATATCATACACATAGGAAATGAAAATGACGCGAAGTTTAAATTTTTACAATCGAAGTCTTTTTATTAAAAATCAAAAGCGAAGTCTAGACATTGTCTCATAGCCATCTACTACAATAGAATTTCAATAGGGTCACAACCCTTTTTCAATCAAAAGTCTCAACCTAGAACAATAGGAAAGTAACTAGAAGAGAATGACATCTTGTCCTCGAACCATAAGGACTCACCACAAGTCTTGGAGATAATTAATCCAAGCCTTAGTCAAGAAAGAAAAAACTTCAATGCCCGGAACCTACACTTTGGAGAAAATGTAAAAGAAACAGGGATTATCACAAATATATACTAAGTATGGAAGCCGTGCAATAAAACCGTAAACATGCTAAAAAGGACAATTTAATTGAAAAGTATGCATTTACTAAGTTTGAGAATCACCAGACATCTTTAATTTAAAACACAAGTCATAGCATGTTCATCATATAAATCCTCATAACATAGTAAATCCATTACGTTAGTAACCCTAAGGTATACCTGTGCAATGTATGGTTGGTATCCTATAATACCAACCATTCTAAGTACCCCTTTGAGCCCACCTTAGTCATACATATAATCCTTAGATCTCATCATAGTCAATAGTCATAGATAAGGAAATAGTCGTGTACATTAACTTGAACATAAGGAAGTCATCCATAGCAACAATTCATTCAACATACATGCATACATTCATACATTTTCATAACATTAGAAACCACCCCATAACCCCTTGCAAAGTCTACTTGTGCAATGTAAAAGTGAAGTCTCATACACCCACTCCTACTAAGCAAAGCTCATTAAGAAGTCATAGGTATAGTTCGTGTCATATTCATAATCTTGTCATGTAGGGAAGATAGCCTTAACCGATATAGACCATGTGAGCTACATGGAATCCGGTGTCATGTAACCCCACACCGAAATAAGGTGTCCTACTTGCCTAAGGTAGAACTAAATGTATTAGCTTTTAGGTGGATCCACTAGCTAAAGACCTATGTGGGCACATAGTTAAGCGATATGGAGATATCTTCTAGAAACCCGGCCTAATATATTGACGGGAGAACTTCCATCTCATGAGGTTACCTTTTAGAAACCCGGCCTATTGTATTGACGGGAGGGCCTCTATCTCATTGTTCATATACACTCGGTGCTAAACATTATTTCCCTAATTATACATAATTACTCTTGAATTCCATTTACATGTGTGAAGCGATATCTTACCCTTCATTCAAGACAACTCATAAAATATCTCATGGATTCAATTAGGTGAGAATGGACTTTCAATCATCAATATGTGAGTAAACCTTTCACATTATGTTCATAATGTTTCATGAGAATAGACTTTCAATCAACACAACCACATGATCATATCCTAGACAATTCATACATAGTCATGTGTAAGGGTAAGGGGAGAATGATCTTTCGGCAATACCACAATTTACACAATAGTCATAGGATCTTTACTTTCTAAGTGAATCATAAGTTCATACACAATTTTCATCAACATGTACAGACCCTCATAATTTACCCTTCAAGGGTCATTAATCAAGTCTCAGAATCACACCTAGAAATACTACAATAGGCATGAATGACAACATGATCTCAATAACTAACATACCATAGACATAATTCATAGTATTCATCTTGCATCAATACACCCATCACAATTCATGAAATTGGGTCACGGGGGAATTCATGGGTCCATGGGGAATTTTATCATAAAACCACCAATAAACAACAATTCAATCATAATAATAGACAATTAACTCATTGAAATCGTTTTTAGGAAGAACCCATGACATAGATTGAAAACCCTAGGTTTTGAAGAATCTACTAATTTGTAATTGAGAGTTTTAGGGCTTCATGGAAGAATGCTTTCCATGAATCAAGATCCCCATACCTTGATTGAAGATTTCCCCACGAATTGGAGTTGAGAAGATGAGTTCTTGAGCCCTAGCCTTCAAGTTCTTGTTCTTCTTCAATGGAGGATTTTTAGTGAGAGAAATATTGGAGAGGAGATGGGTCTTCTTTTAATTCTTTTAAAAGTGACTTAATTGGAGGAATTTCAAGTCTAAAAAGGTTATATACTTATTGAGAAAAGAGTAGAATAAAGTGGTTTTAATTTTGGAAGAAAACTTGAGACCCTTTAAGTTACAACTTAAATTTTCCCTTCTTTCACGACTTGGCTCGCCCAATGCACCCCCTTAGCTCGCCAAGGGCACTAGGCGACACGCCTAATAGACCCTTGGCTTGCCTAATTTTCCAGAATTCTCCATCATGGAGCATTTCCAATGGGCGAGAGGAAGGTCTTTTGGGTGATGCACCAAGTGGGTTGGTGAGCCTCGACCTAGCTCACATATAATCCCAGTAGCTAGGTCTAGGGGAGTCTGCCCACTAGGAGAGGAGAGTCCATTTGGCTAATCGCCAAGGTACTTGGGCGATGCTACTACCCATCTCCGAATGGACCAAAGTAATAATCATTTTCTTCCATGTTTCTTAGGTGATTTAGGCCCTTGCCTTCTCTCTAAACTCTTACCCCATTCATTTTAGCTCTAGGTAAGTCTACCCAATGCCGGAGTGTTTCATAAATTAAAGGATAATGATTGTCAGATTATGACACACGTTCACTAAATTTCAGGAGAGAGCATTTGTAAAAATGTTGTTTCATCAGTGGCAACAATTTTTAATTGTGATTATATTTTTTTTAATTGAATCTACAACTTCAACATATTGAAAAGGTCATCAGTCTAGACCTATACATATGCTAGTGTTTTCTGACAGATGCACAACTACAAGGTCGGGATGTATATGATTTTAAGATTTTATTGACTTGGTTGTACTTTGACAAATGTGTTGATGATTTATATTGATTGGTGATTGTGTTGCTCAGTTTTTTATGATTTGACATTCTTGTTAAGACTGTTAAAGGAGATATGTTAAAAGAGGGTACAAACTCAATATGTGTATATATATATATATATATATATATATATATATATATATATGAGGGTGTTGCTAGACATTTTGTTTATATTCATTACACATGTTGTGTATAAAAGTTAAGAGCTACCATTAAGGGGTTGTTATGCACAAAGATTAATAACTTTGGGGTTGTTTGGTATGAGGGATAAAAATAAATAGTGATGAGATAAGAAAATAGTGATGGGATAATTTTTTTGTGTGTTGCTTGGTTGCCATGTTGTCATAACTTATCCCACCATTTATACCATATTGATGAGATAAGTTATTCCATATACATGGTGGGATAAGTTATAACTGGATAGCCAATCTCAAGATAACTAATCCTGCGATAACTTGTTCCCAACCAAATGACCCCTTAGAGATTAGTAATGCATGAATTAGTAGTGCATGAATTAGCAGAGCTGAAGACATGATTTTCATAAAGGGGGTTCAAGAAAAACACTAAGCATACAAATAAAATCTACAAATAAATGGGTCGAATCGAATATGAACGGATCGGATAAAAAATACTTAATTTAGAGCACATATATCTAAAGACTTAAATAGATCAAACATAATGTAGAATGTAAACATGAGGAGAGTCTTGAAGTTTCAAGAATGAAATTGGAAATGACAAATATATATATATATATATATATTAATTTTCATTCAAATAAATCAGTAAAAATCATCACATCATAGAATGTATAACAAAACATAGTGAAGCCTATTTAAATATAATTTTACAATTGAAAATGAAACTACCTACATTATTACAATTGTACTGTACGAGGTTTCTTATGTGCCGTGAACTCATAGCACATTTGACGCTCAAAACTAAGAATTAGTGTGAGGAATCAATTTTTTTATGTGGGTGGATATGATGTTTTCTTTGGTGTTGAACATGTACAACACTTGAATTCAAAAGATAGAAAAAAAGAAGGAAAATAGAGCTGAAGTCAACACCACGGAGCCTAAACGGGGCGTGGTCCCGTTGACGAGCCATCTGATGGCTCGTGGAAGAGAGGTAATGATTGTTGTGGATTCCTAAGTTTAGATTGAAGTCCAAAAAACCCCCAGATGGGTTGTGGTTGAGGTGAAGAGTCGTCCAATTGCTCGTAGAAGAGAGGCAGTGAAGTCAGTAGCAACCCAAGTGAAGGCGCAACTCCACGGAGCACTAAACAGGTTGTGGTGCTTAAGACATGCCATCTAGTTGGTGAAGACTAGAAGTGAAGGAAGACCCACACTGTCTATGTGTGGGATCAAGAAGGGCTTGACGAGCCGTTACCCTGCCCGTAAGGTGTCGCGACAGTGCAGTCCTACTTCGAGTATGACTTATTTTTAAAGACTATTTTAAGTACTTAAGGTTTATATTTGAATATTAATTTTTATCATTCATTACATCGAGACATTCGGAGCGCGGAGAAACGACAGTTTCTATTTTTGAACACTTTG